CTCTATACTTAGGAAATTTAGAAAATTTTTATGAAGGAACTCTAGTTAGTTTTGGCATGAAATATAATATTGTGCTTAAAAGATAAATAAAAAATAACTCCCTTATATATGAGAATGTGAATAAATGCTTAGGCATAGCTGTAGAGGGACACTCTTCTTTGCCGTGGTATTACTTGTAACTCTCTTTAATAAATGGCAGCCTCACGCATATGAGTGAATGAAAGTAGTCACGGGATGACTCTGCTTAACTAGCTCAGGGTGGAAGGTATGCTCCCTTTCACCTAGAGTGTATGAGAGTATGTGTGGTGAGCTGACTCCCTTCGTAACAACAATTAAAAAAAGAGTTCAGTAAAAAGGGAGTAAAAATGTGCTTAATGAATGATTAAATGCCTTGGCAAAAATAAGGGGACTTGATTAGAAATTGTCTAAATTTGCTAAGTACAGATTGGATACAATCACACACACACACACTACCACAAATATTCTTGACCTAGGGAAAAGTACTTGAATTCTTGATATATCTACCAAGTTGAATCCTATTTTTCTAAGGGTTGAAATTCAATTGTGTCCTACTGTTCTATTGTTAAAAATTGCCATGACATTCTGTTTGTGTAATTGCTATCCATTGCTTGAGGACAAGCAATAGCTTAAGTTTGGGGGTGTGATAACTCCCTAAAAAGGCTACTTTTAAGGTCTTTTTCACTTAAGTTATTGTTTGTTTAAAAGCTCATTTTAGTCATTTTAGGATCATGTAGTTGCATATAGTTACATGTGTGGTGGTATTGATATTTTATCTCTTAAATGTGTTGTATGAGAGAAACGTGCAGTTGTTTGTGGTGTGTAAGAAATAGCAAACAAAAGGTCTCTTTGGGAAGTAATGTCGTGGCATCACATGTTGCTGAAGCATATTGAAATGCCTTGGTATTTCTGGAACAGAAAATGACAAAAAGATATTTCTGTACGAGGACAGCTGGCTCTGCACGTGAAATTATGGTTGTAACTGCCTGCTGGGGGACCACTGTCACCTGGAGAATAAGGTTCACACACAAGGTGTGATTCTAGGGGTATGAGGGGTATTTTGCACCCAACAACCTTAACATTACCCCTATATATTTTTTATTATATATTACACCTCATGGGTGAGAAGGGATATACGGCGGAGAGAAGGGATTTTTCAACAAAATATTTTCTTATCTTTTTCACCATTTCCCTTTCTTCTTCCTTGAGTGGTGTTCCTCCATTGATAAGCTCTAAGGAGTGGCGAGCTAGGCGTCCGAGAGGAGCTAGCTCGCCACTCCTTGGAGCTAGCGAGCTAAGGCATTTTGTTGTGGTCGAGGAGACCTCTAGTGGCGCTCGTCGAGGGCTTCTTCTCACTTCCCTTTGCTACTATTTTTCTATTATTTCTTGGGTTGTTGGATCAAATATTTTCATGGCTTGTTCTATGGATGATTCGAACCCCACCATGACTTAACCTTATTTGGTGGGGTTGTTTTGATTGATGTTTAAACTTTATTTTAATGGTGGATTTATGTTTATCTTTTTTATTTGCTTGCTTTTCTTATGTATGCTTCATCATCTAAGCTTGTAAGAGGCATGGGAGTGTCCATTTCTTAGATGAAGGTTAGGTGTTCGAGAGAAACCTAGCTAAAAATACTTGTAGTATTCGAGAGAAACACAAGACAATATCCTCATAACCAATGGGCTATTGTATTTTCATAAGCTTTGAACCGGCCTATGAATACTATATCCTAATCCCTGAGTAATCGAGAGAGACTAAGACAGGATTTCAACAACTAAAAAGGGTAGTTTTTATCAATAGTGTTAATAGTGTAGACTGTCATAGGTGAGAGTGAGTACAGATTCCATGGCATTCTATTATGAGGTTCCTTTGACTAGAGATAGCGGGAGCATTTTCAGGAAACCCTATCAAGTAAGTAAAGTTTAGATAGATTAAATATGTTTGAGAGATAAGTTTAGCATCCTTAACCTAATCCCTACCATTCATTCCAGCGGAAACTTGTCGTGTGAGGATTATCCACTTATCATTTATTTGCTATTTATTTACTATTTTTACCATTTTTCATTGCCTTGACATATCATAATTTCAACATCAAAAATTTGTTCTTGCCACTGCATTTCCATTTGCTACACCATTAGACCATCAATCCATATCCACCAACATACACTTTTCATTTGCTGTGACATTGTACATATCAACACTAACTATACATAGATAGAGTAGTGCTTTGCTTTGGTTAGAATTTTGTAATTTCAACCAATCCATGTGGATATGATACTCACTCATCACTTTATTACTTGAGCGATTGTGTATACTTGCACATTATTTGTGTATAATTTTATAGTAATCACAACACAAAACACTATGTCCATGCAGAGAACCAATTTTCTTACAAAGACATAAGATATATACCCCGAAGGCTAATCGCTAAGGCCCACACGGAGAACCAATTTTCTCAAAAAGGTGAAGCTTTCACCTCTACTTAATGGGACAGAGCGCAATAAATAGGCTCTAATTATCCTAGATGGTTACAATATTCCAGGGGAAACTCGTAATATTTTGCCTCGATCCAGAATCAAATCAAATAAAAAGTCAAAAATCTAAAACCATGAGAAATCACACATTAGTACAACTATTTATTAGTAATAGTCAAATAAAAATTATAAATGACATGATGCGATGCATAATAAAGATAAAATAAAACAAAACCAAAAGGACCATAATTTAAATAGCATTTAAATTTACAATTCTCAAACATAAAGACGACATATAATCAATTACAAACTAACTCTCTAATGATCCCAAACGGAGTTGCCAAACTATCGGAACCGTCCTTAAGCTTTTTTGGACTGGAATAGGATCAAACCAGATTAATTTTAAAACTTAGGTTTAGAAATACAAATTTAGAGTCGCCATCGACCTTCGGGTTAGGTGGACCGAAACCTAAAAAATTAACTTTTAAAATGATTTTATAGAAATTAAATTAAAAGATATAAAAAATGAAACCAATCTGCGTTGAGTCAGAAATGCATTCTAAAAAGGGGTTCTAAAGTCGATTATGCGTGGGGAAGGGTAAGCACCCCCACAGGGTCAGAATTGGTACCAAATTGATTATACATTGTCTTTATGTTTGAGAATTGTAAATTTAAATTAGTATTTAAATTATGATCTTTTTATCCGAACAATCCTAAAAAACACACTTCATTTGTATTTGGGACACTTTTTTATATATTTCCCAGACACAATACATGGACTCAATTCTTCTTTAATCTCTAAAATAAAGACAAATTTAAAGAAAACGTTAGAATAAGATGATACCCTTTTGGATAAACAATCATTGGAAACGCATTTCTCTTGTAGTCAAGAGACCTTTTCATGGATTCCCCACACAAATTGGCATTGCCTTGATTTTTACTTAATATTAAATATAATAAAGTTATACTAAATATGTAAAATAAAAACACTTGAATAAAAAGAGAACTCTTTTGTGTAAGCAATCATCGGACATGCGCTCCCTTGTAATTGAGAAACATTTCCATGGATTCCCTACAAAAAAAATAATATTAAAAAAATGAAACATATATAAGAAATAATAATAATAATCTAAAAAATATTCTTTAAATTTGTGAAAATGGACATATATTAAGACACAGGGCTTAAAACAAAAGCTCAATAAAATGGGGACTAAATGCATAAGACAGAAAGTACAGGGACAAATTATAGGAATTAACCATTCAAGAAGGGACTAAAACACATGCATAAACAAATCAAAAGGGCCTAAAATGAAAATAAACCAATCATTCATCAATATTAAATTTAAATAACATTTTATAATAAACAAAGATCAGAAAATAAACACAATAAAACGTAAAGGACTCTAAATATAATAATATGCATTCCATTTAATGATCAAAACATAAAATATGTAAAAAGAATGACCTAAAATGCTATTTACCCATATCGAAAAAGACACTCCCTTGCTCCCAAAATGTTGTCGTATGGTACCTTCTTTATAAGTCCTATCTAATTAGGGATGGCAAACAGACGGGTCGGGTGCGGATACCCCATCCCCCATCCCCATATCCACCTAATATTTTTCAATCCACCACCCGCCCACCACCCATGATGGGTACAAATTTTCAAATTCACACCCGCCCACGCGGGTACATTTTCAAATCCATCCCCACACCCACTACCCACTAGCGACATACCCATCTAGACCCGCCTGACAGCAAACTAATGGGATGTTGGAGTTGGTTCCCAGACAGTTCGTGATAGGGTAGCAACGCATGCTTCAATTTGTCAGAGGAGTGGCTCTACGAATGTTATGGAGACATATTGTAAGGAGCATGTAGTCGCAGAGCTGGATTGTTGAGTTGCTTTCGATGTTAATACTCATAGTGCGCTTAATATGGGTTTTGAGGGGCTAAAGAACATGGAAACTTTTGCTTTTGATATTAATGCATATAGTACGGCTAATTTGTGTTTGGATGGACAGCATGGGCTAAAGAACATGGAAAGTGACGTGGTTAGTGGGATTATGGGTTTAATCAAAGAGTCGAATATTTCTCTAATTAAAGACCAGATTAAAGACTAAATATCCTTAATATTTGGTTAAATTATTGTTATATATTATACAATATTAAAATTTATAAATTAGTCTCTAAAATTACACCTAAATTCATAATGGTCCAAAATTTAATAGATATTTAGCTAGGCGAGCGGATGTGAGGCGGGCGGATGCGGGGCGGGCAGATGAGGGGCGGGTAATGTCTCAAACCCATTACCCGCCCACCACCCACCACCCACGATGGGTACCACTTTATAAATCCACACCCATCCACTACCCGCTAAAATTATACCCATCTCCGCTCCAATTAGAACGAATACGGTACGGAATCCACGAAACTAAACCCGTTTGCCATCCCTATATTTAATGCCTTAAAATGGAAACCTCTCATTTTAATACCTTTGTTTTTTTTGCTAAAAAAGGAAAACCAAAATCCTTTCCAGCTTCGCTCTTATCCTCCCACGCAGAGAGGAGCATACCCAGCTCCGGCCGCCATGAATCGGTGGCCAGCACACTAAGAACCTCCCCGAAAAAGCCTTTACAACTTTCTACAAACCTTTAAACAAACCTTTAAACGACCCTTTTTCCCAAACGACCCAAAGGCTCTTAAAACCCCAAAGATTTCAGAGAGAAACTTATCTTTTTTCACAAACCTCGTTCCTCTCCAACTCAAATCTACGGTGGATAGGAGTTTACCTTAGAGAAAGGAGGTGCCTTTTGCTCCGATGAGAAGGGTTCCGAGCTCCCAAAGGTAAGAACCTTTATGTTTTCCCCTTTTTCTTTCCTTTCCTTTGATTTTTGTTTTTCCTTTTCGAACCTGATCCTCCCCTTTTTGGTTTGTTTATTTTCATTTTTCTTTTATAACCCCTCTAATTTCCTTTCTGTTTTATGTTTTTGTTTTGCATGTGAAAAATTAAAGCCGTGGATGAAATCCCTATTGCTATTTCTAAGGGCCCCGATCACTTTTCTCCGAAAAAAATCCCTCCTTTTTGCATGTGATGCTTGGGGGAAAAGAAACCTTTTTCACCATAGATCTTTCTTTGTGAATCATCGGATGGTTGAAGATTCCTCTTCAACGGTTTCTGACATTTTGCACAAAGGGAAGTTTTCCCTCTACCATGACAGAGGCAGCATAGGCACCACACGAGGGAGCCGGGACCTTTCACGTGCGCGTGAGAATCTGAGAAATCAAAAAATGACGCGTGGGAATCTAGAATGATCTTGGGTGCCATCCACGCTCCACCCATGGTACATTAGATGTTCCTAGTCATCGAATCGGCTCGCTATCTCCATCGTTTATTTTCTTCTGATTTTTGGGGCATCCAAATGTTATCTTGGACCGTTATATCTCAGACACGGATCTAACGGTTGCAACTCGATTGTGCGTGCTTTATTTTGGGGTTATAAGAAACCCTAATCAATTTTTAGTCCAGATGGTTAGGTTATAAGTTGTTGATGGATTAAGTTTTTCTATTTGAGTAAAGACACGTAATCGGTAATTGATCGATGATCGGTCAGTTATATACAAATTGTGGAGGTTAGGTATCAGATGAAATACTATCCAGTGGAAAGAAATAATAGTTTCGGTGTTTCTTCTTAAACTCATATCGGTTAACTCATTTATGAGGGGTGATTCTCTTTAAAAATTTGAAGTTATTATATATTTTTATATATTTTTTATTAAAAATTTATTTTTATTCTCTAAAATTTTATTTATTCTCTTAAAATTTTATAAGATTAAATTTATTCCTTTAATAAAAAATTTTATATTTATCTTTAAATAAAATATGTATAAATACAACCGTTAATTATTATATTTGATCAACATAAAATTCTTTAATCTATTAAAGATCTTGTTGATGGTCTTATCGGATGTCTAATCCTTCTAGCACTATTTTTTTAGATAAGATAACGATGAAACATACTTCCGGATATGTAATAAGTTGTTATATTTTTTTTGTTTTCATAAAGCAATTATTATTTTAATTATAAATATTGATCATAAATGTTTTGAATACCGTATAAGCTCACAAATCTATTAGAGGAAACTAAAAATTTAAGAGAAAATAATCTCAGTGACCAAAAATTCCTTATAATATACGATTTTGACCAATTTTTTTTCGATTTGCTAAAATGACCAACAAAATCGCAATGCGATCTATAAATCGCAACGCGATCTCCAGTATCGCAAATCAGTTTCCAGATTCGCAACACGATTTTGACTATCGCATTGCGATTTTCCAAATTCGCGTTGCGATTTTATAAAATTGCAATGCGAATATGTAAATCGCAACGCGATTCTGACTATCGCAACGCGATAATACATAATCGCAACTCGATTCTGACTATCGCAACGCGATTCTGACTATCGCAACACTGAATTTCAAATTCGCAACAGGTTTTAGTTTCGCAACACAAATGTTTTGGGTATATAACTACGCAGCAGCAGCAACTCATAACCTAAATCCCTAATTCACAACTCATTCCATCTCCATCTATCACTCTCTTCGGCGACATCCGTTCCTATATCCAACGACATCCTTTCCCATCTGGCAACAGGTTTTAGTTTCGCATCTCGTTTGTTTAGTAAATTAATTTACAATAATGAAATCATCTAATGTTGATCATGTTTGGATAGATTTGTATTTTGGAGGGTCATGGGAGAATGTTCATGGTGTTTTACAATATATGTCTTTACCCATGAATCTTCAACTAAAACTGTCATTAAAAAAGTTATCTTATGAAACTCTAATGTTACGTGTTGCAAATAAATTGAATTTAAAGCCCCTAAGTGGATTTAGGCTATCATATCAGAGAAAATGTAAAGTTTATTTATTAACCGACAATGAAGATGTTGAACGATTCATTGCTTATATTAGTGTTTCGCAAGATGATGTTACATTGTATGTTGTTGAACCTAAGAATAGTGAAGTTGGGTCAGTAGCGAGTAGTAATCAACTAAGTTTTTCAACCCCAGTTTATGGTGTTCAAAATTTAATGGTTCCACCATAATTTCATCACCAAGCAAATTTTGTTTCACCACATTTCCAATAAGAAACACAATCTCAAAACCCACAACATTTCCCTAATCCAAATCCCAATCAACTTTCAGCACCAAATTCCGGTTTTCGTATTGACCAGTTAGACGATGATTAGCCAACAGAAAAAATTATGAGTACTAGTCAGTATTCAAAATTTGATCTTGGTCAATACCCGGACTTTGATCTTGGTCAATACCCGGACTTTGATCTTGGTCAATACTTGGATTTTGATGATGTTTCAGAAGAAGAAACAGACCATGCGTGTAATGATTTTGATATTGGTCAATACCCGAATTTTGATGATGAAACAGCCGCTGCCGAGGAAGATGTTGTTGATGATAATGAGGAGGAAGTTACGACTGTGAATGAACATGTTGAACATCCATTCTGTAATTCATATAACCTTAAAGAAGAAAAAAAAGAAGAAGAAATCCCCGAAGAAACGTCCCCGAAGAAAATGCCACGGGAGTATAACTGGAATATGCCAGAATTACTTCAGATACCGGAAGAAGAGTTGGTAAAGATAACAGTTGATTGTTACACAAAAATTATTCGTATCAAGAAAGATGATTGTTTTGATACAAAAGAAGACTTGAAGATAGCTTTGTATACGAAATGTGTGGAAGATGACTATCAACTAAAAGTTAACAAATCAAGCAAAGATCGTTTCGAAACAAGGTGTATGATTGACAAAAACTGTACGTAGCGTATGATTGCAAAGAGGATAAAAGATTGCGAAATGTTTCAAGTTAGAACTTTTATTGATAAACATACATGTTCAAGAACCCAAGTTTTTCCTCACCATAGACAGGCAAACAAAAAGGTGTTGGGTGGTTTTCTGGCTGAGTTAATGTTTTTGAATGGCAGGGTATATCTGGGACATGAAATTATGACTGACATGAATGCTCGGTTCCAGATTAGTATCTCATATTCTCAAGCTTGGAGAGCCAAATGTTATGTCTTGAAATTGTTGAGGGGGTCACCAGAAGCATCGTTTGCCCAACTGACGGCTTATTGTCACAATTTAAAGCTGAAAAATCATGGGTCGGTAACTCATATCAAAACAGATAGAGATGGATGCTTTGAGTTGCTGTTTATCACCATTGGTGCTATAATTAGTAAATCAATATAATTTTGTTGACTCATTTATGTTAGTTACATGCATTTCACATTTAAATGATTATATTTCTTGTGTATATTATTTTGTAGATTCGTCCGTTTATTACTTGCATGTGTCCAGTTATTATAGTTGACGGAGCACATTTAAAAGGTCGATACCTTGGAGTAAACTTATTAGCAGTAGTCATGGATGCTAACAATGGGATATTGCCAATAGTTTACGGGGTTGGCAATTCTGAAACCTCTGATTCATGGACATGGTTTATGGGCATCTTAGGAATTGCATAGGTCCTATTAGCAATCTGACAATCATATCCGATAGGGAAAACTCAATTGACAACGCTGTTAGAAGGTGTTTCCCAGATGCTTTTCATGGACTTTGTGGTGTTCATTTGTATAGAAATCTAAAATCAAGGTCTGCTGGTATAAAAAATCACAAATGGACATACTGGAAGGCTGTAAAAGCTTATCGGGAAGTGGATTTTAATAAGCATATAAATTGTTTAAAACGTGTTTTGCCTCAGTGTGCTCAAACACTAGAAGATGTCGGGTTTGAAATATGGTCAAGAATACATCAACTTGGAGCAAGATATGGTTTCATGACGTCTAATAGTGCAGAATCAATCAATGCTCTAAGTCGTCATTCTCGGAAATTACCCATTACTATGTTAATGGAGTTTTTTCGAGCCTCTATTCAATAGTGGTACTACAAGAAAAGAAACCATGCAGGTATTATTTCTTTAAATTCGTAACTTATCTTATATTTTACTATGTATTATTTATTTAAATTTACAGGAACATTGGAACATCGTGTTACACCATGGACTGAAAAAAAGATAACGATACGTATTGTGAAGTCAACGTCATGGAGAGTTGAACCATGTTCAAACACTTTGTTTGAAGTACTGGATAATAACTTAAATGGGCTTGTCGATCTAAATGCAAAGACGTGTAGTTGTATGAAATGGCAAACATCTGGTTATCCGTGTGGCCATGTTATAAAAGTTGCTCTTCATCTAAACCAAGATGATTGAAGCGCATAAGCTATGGATTGATACATTACAGAAGTATATCGACAGACTTATGCCAAGATTATCTACCCTATTCCACATCCTTCTGAGTGGGACATACCAGATGACTTACAAATAGTTTTGCCACCAGCCATGGGCAGAAGGCTACTTGGCCGACCAAAAATTCATGATCGTATACCGTCTAAGGGTGAAGAGAAGAAGAGATTGACATGTAGTCGGTGCAAGGAAAGTGGCCATACAAGGTTGACATGTGGATCACCAGTGCCATCACAATCATCTTTTCCTCTACCAAAATATGGATCCTCATCAAAATCCAAAGCTCATATGGTGTCAAGCAAAAGGCAATCAAAATCGCAATCAAAATCAAAATCCCAATCACAACCGGCTTCACCTTTTGGGACTAATAACTTAGGTGATTTTTAAATGCAAACGTTGTATTATGTGTATTTTATGTGTAAACTTTTAACATTTTCAGTTAGGCATGTATTAGTAACTTGAGTTTGAACATTGCTATGATCTGTTCAGTTGTTATCACTTATTACACATTCATTTGAATATCGCAACGCGAATTTGACTATCTCAATGCAAAAATCGCAATACGAATTTGACTATCACAACGCAAAAATCGCAATGCGAATTTGACTATCGCAACGCGAATTTGACTATCGCAACGCGGATATGACTATCGCAACGTGAATATGACTATCGCAACGCAAATTTGACTATCGCAACGCAAATTTGACTATCGCAACGTGAATTTGATTATCGCAACGGGAATTTGACTATCGCAACGAGAAAATCGCAAAGCGTATTAGACTATCGCAACGCGAATTGACTTTCGCGTTGCGATTTTGGCTTTCGCATTGCGATTTTGACTTTCGCATTGCGATTTTGAGTTTAGCGTTGCGAAAGTGTACCTTCACCAGGTCTTTTGCCTTCAATATGATGCAGATTGAAATCAACTTTTACATTTCAATCAATTAAACAAGCACAAATAAGAATTATTTACACATCAATTAAACAAATAAACTTTTACAAATCAATTAAACAAGCAAAAAATAATAATAATTCTTATTTTCCTCATCAATTAAACAAATCAGACTTTTAAGAATCAATTAAACAATAAAAAAAAGTGTACCCCAGACAGTTGTTTATGCACCCATACATCAATTTCACGCAGCTCACTTCAGGATTAACCTGCAGAAACCAAACATTTGCTCAAACAACACTTTCTACACATCTAAAACCAACAAACAGTAAATTATTGAATTCTAGGTACTTAACAACACTTGCATTTGACTTACCAATTGTTTATGGACACTTTAATAACGCGGATGCAGGTAGGCAGCGTCTCGCATATATCGCTCTAGCCATAAAATGCCAAAACCACAAGCCTACTGCACCTCTATC